CAAGCCAACCAGGAACCAGAAAGCAAACAAATAGAGCTCTGTGCTTTCCCTTCACCACAATCTGATAAACTTTGAGGGCGCTTTGGTTCTTATGACATCGGTAAAGTAATAGTTTTCTCAGAAATCCATTTATATCAGGCCGATTTCATCATAAAAAAGATATTGACAAACTATGTAAATACTCTTCGTACATTCCTTGAATCACCAGATATGCTCATGTCTCCGAAAAGAAATCAATTATTTAATAAGTGTGGTAAGTAAAGACCCTTGTTTGTAGTCTCCGGGAAAATCAGGACAATATTTATTTATTATATCACCTTAATATTTGCGCTGCTATGAAATCGCTAGAAAGCATAGTTTTGGGTCATTCCGGACATTATAAGCCCTGATTCGTCTATATAATAAAACAGATTACAAATTGTTTGCATTTATTGAAGCTTTAACGAACGATAATTGCAGAAAGTACATAGCTTTTCACTTAAATAGACACACTTTTTGGAAAGCACATCTCTTAACAATAAATTACTATAAATTAAAAGTCTGCAAATATATCCAATATATCACTTTTGTACCCGTATGTTTCTTTAGTGATACTTTTATCGATAATGAATTGGAATTTGGGATAGTCTAATAATTACAAAAAGTATTTAAAGTTTTGTTAAAGATATAATATGTATAATACAGGGTGCGACATCTATTATGTCGGTATGTAAATATTCGATAACTTTGTCATTAGTGAATCGATTGACTTGAGTAGAACATTGTTGAAAACCTCAGTTCAAGAAATTCTACAGAACCAAATTAAATAAAAATATCTCATACTTGAAAATCGGTTGTTTATTATTCAAAGATATTCAATGTTTACATACCGACATAAAAGGTGGCGCACCCTGTATAGTTTTAGATAAGTGTGACCGTTTTATGTATTCAGTTTATTATTCCTTTCATTCTGTTCTCTTAAGTGTGATCCTTAATACAAGCCAATTAATGCTATCGACAAATATCTCATAATATTGAAGTTTTGAAACTCAATTCAACTCGATTACTTTATATTAAGTAATATACCCTTTTTCCCATTGGATACGGGGTACAAAAATCTAATTACAATTGTTAATTGTTAATACATACATAGTATATATGTATATACTATATCAGGATTAGTTTTTAGATCCTAACTGAACTATTTCAAGCATATCCCATTTTCTTTTAATATACGATGATAAGATGAAATTATTAAATGGTAAAGCTACATTAATAAAACATTACCGCTTGAGCTCGAGTATTAAAGCATATAGTCTGTATAACGATTTATTTTTGATGTGCTTCACACTAGAATTGTTTTTGGATATTAACGCATAACTTCGAACTAGTTCTGGCCAAACTGACACAGTTCTAGGAAAGCAATAGACCCGGTCCCGCCCCTTCCGACAAAGTACATTCGGCGTGTTGCTCTCGAGACAGTTTGACTCTTTGGCTTTAAGATGGCAGGCGGCAGCAGAGGCCGCTAACGTCGTGGTCTTTGACTAAGTGACTGACTGACTGACAGCGAACACGTACTCGTGCCTCTTGATGTTGCAACGTGTTGCAACATGGGCGCATCACTGAGGCAGGCAGGCCAAGAGGAGAAGAAATCCATTAAAAATGTTGAGAAATGTGCACAAAATATGCAATGAATTCTTTCTTCTGCTGCCACTTATTCCGTCTACATTGTCTATGGTTGGGTCTGCGTTCTGCGGTCCGGGACTGGACATTCCAATTCTTGGCATTCAATGTCTTCATTGGATGCCAACGGAATGTGGCATTTATGAGACATGAAGCTGCAAACTTTGAGTTACTTTTTAAGCAGCAGTTGTAACACTAAGTAACGAAAGGTTGCACATAGGCCTTGAGAAGAGACATCAGAACTATTTTTATACTTCAAGTTAAATAGTATTGCACTTGTAGAATATATATGTTTTAGAATATAAGAATTGGTTATAGGAATTACAAATTGATAGAGTTCATTCTTTTAATATTACTGGAGAAAATTAGAAATTTTCGACTTCGAATTTTATTTCAAAATTTCAAATATAATAAACTATTCCGCCAGCACATTTAATAATAAAATTATTCATTAAAAATATGTATATTCAATATTTATGATATTGTGTTTGAGATATTCGAACGCATATTTAAGAACATTTTAAAAATACTTTAAAAAGAAAAGTATTTTAAGATGTTCGCTACGAATATTTTACATTAAAATATCATCATTAATTATTTTATTCTTTTAGGGAATGTACCCTTAGAGAAGACCAAAAAGAAGAAAGTGGCTTTGGCAGGGTCAATTATCTAACAGATACTAAATTTGACTGAAACTGAAAGTGTTATCTTCGAGATCGTTTTAAATTTGAGTTTTCAGCTTGGAATAAAAATTGGAAAGGCGAGTTACTATTCCAACTGCTTAGTCACTTCAATCGTGTGGCAAGGAGTTCCTTGGACCTAGAGTTACAGCTGATTGGTTATAATAATTTGCGCAACTATCGCTTAAATTCTCAAATGATTAACCGATATATAAATGTGAAAATATAGCTAATATGTATTTACCTGAAAAGCATGGTCATACTTATTTCCACCACATTTAAAGTAAGTCTAAGGAATAATTTAAAAGATAATACGTTGCTTAAAAGTGATTTAATCATGCCACGCACCATTCGATAGCTATGCGTGTACAAATGTTTTGTCTGAGTGTTTTGTTATACATACATATATGTATCTTTAGAATTTAGTCTAGAACTCATGCCTAGCAGCGTCTGCTGCTCCTCTAATGGCTTCCGCACGGCTTCAAAGCCAAGTGGATACACATATGTATGTACATATAGTTATATAGATAGATAGATAGATATGTAAGTTGGTATGCATTTCTAAATGTGCAATTGCACTGCACAAATCGCATGCCACATGCTGCTCCCCACCCCGTCCCCATTCCTGTCCCCGTTCCCTGACGATGTCATCGTGGTCGCGACTGTTAGCTCCAGCATGAAATGCCCAGACGGTGAGTGTGTGCAGCAATTGAGTGACTGATGCGGTTCCGTCTGTCCATCGGTCCTGATGTCGATTGTCGTCGTCACACAGTGGACTAGCAGCGGTTTTAACTCGCCAAAACTTTGTAAAGCCCAAGCCAACTTAAATTAGTTGAATCATTTAAAGTGGCTTCTGTTAATCAGACATTCGAAAAGTTTTCACTATTATTTATAGTTTTTGGAGGCAAAATTACACTTTTTATAACTTTCCTATAGTTATTTAATAAACTACTGCTGACTGCTAAAATGTTATTATTGCCGTGAAATTACGCTCAGGTAAGTGTTTAATTTTTATATTTTCAAAATAAAGATCAAAACCTTTACGGATATCTCTTCATTTCAACAAAAAAAAGTTGAACTGAAAATTTAAAAAAAAATCTATTCTGTTTCAGCCTTTAAATTTTAAATAGTAAATGAAATCCTTAGCTGTTGATTTCAAGTACGGATCAGACATATGTCCTTTAATCTTGTTTTTTTTAAGCAATAACTGTGCTTCTTCCAACTCAGTTATTTCATCTATCTATCATCTTTATAACGATATGATATTAAATATATTTACATAAAGAAGTTAATTTCAACATTCTTGAACATTTTAAAGTTGGAAATACATAATTTTCAGCAATACTTTCTCCATCACTTTACATTTATTTTTTCTGGAACTGAAACCCCAAAGCCTGCACTATTGTAGTATACCTTATTCTATATTATTATAATTTCTATAGTTCTCTATAGGTTTAGCCACTGTGCATCGTCGACGCCGTCTTCGTTTCGCTATATAGGAAAGTTTTTGTAATCTAGACGATTGGACAGTTGAGACGGGACAGGACAGCTAGACGGCCGTCCAGCGCTGCCAAGTTTCAAGTTATTGTTGTAGAGTTGTCGCCGATATTATGGTTGTTGTAGTTCTGGTTGTTGTTGTTAAGACAGACGCGCCATTTGTTACACATTATTTAGCATTAACAATCAAATCAGCATAAATTTCTCAAGAAATTCCGTTATAGGGCGACCCCGGTCGCTCGCCTTGTGGCATTCAATGGAATGTGACACAAATTAAGCGCAGAGAGTAGAGTAAAAGACGAAAAACAAATACAAACATATGAACATATTTTTGTAAAAAAAAAAAAAAACAAAACGAGCTAAGAAATTATCTTTATATGAGTCGAAGCTATATACCCTTTAATGGAGCTTACAAGAAAATCATTGATGTTTTATTTGAAAGCCTGGATGCAGATAGAACTGGTAAACGAACGATAGTGACGCTGTTCGATCATTGATAGCGATGACCGATATTCGATCAATTCTGTACTATCGATATATCGTTCCATTTTCTGAAGTGAAACTTCTTAAGGGCTTTGAATGCTGGATCGGCAACGTTTTCTGTGACGAAACCAATAGCACTATTCATTTTTTATCTATATAGAAAGCGGTTTTGTATTCATTTTCTAGTTAATTTTGCACATGCCTTAGCTGGGTTTCTAATCATTTATAGTGAGTTTTCTAGCACTTTTTTAGTGGACTTTCTTGCTATTTATAGCGGATTTTCTACCAAAATTTATAGTAATTTTTGAGGATTCTTTTCCACTTTCTACCTACTTATAACTGCAAAAGCAAAATATATGTACATTAGCCATCAATCATTGTTCAGTAATTATAACCAATCTAAAAAAAATCAACTCAAAAAAGTTCGCCAGCAATGCAGGAACTTCGTTTCGGACTCAATCAAAGTCGCTTGAACCCGAACAAAAAAAACGTAATTTAGGCAACATCTAAAGAAAACTTCGTCATATTATCGCTAGTGGATTAAATGCCATTGGCAAAAATGTGTGGACAATAGGGAGCGAAACGGCTACCCTTCTTCCTTCTGGGCATTACAAACTTACACTCTAAATGCAATATCGCCTACAATTTTCAATAAAGGGTATACAAACGTTAACTTACCTCTTTTTCTCTCTAGTTGTTGCTGACGGTTGTTAATGAAGCGCAGCTCCAAAATGTTAATTGTTTGTTTGTATAGGTGTGTGAGTAGGGGGGGAGGAGGAAGAGTAGTCGGCGCGCTCAAAAATGTATCTTTTGTTGTTTATAATTTTGAAACACGTTTGATTAGGTGCGTTTGATTGTTGCCTTTGTATGTTGCCGTGTTGTTGTTACTGTTGCTGTATGTTGTTGTTGTTGTCGTAGGCTCGTTACATGCAACAACAACAACCACAAACAAACGACTCGATATGCCTGTTTAGTTTACTTTCTTCTTCTCATTAGTCTCTCGCAGTCTCTCGGCAATGGTCGTCACCTTCCTTGCGCCAATTGTCAAAGATTGTTATTGGAAAAGGAAAAAAACGCATAGAACGTGACTCGCGAGAGAGCAACAGGGAAAGCGAGAGAGGATACGAAGTATGAGGGAATAGAAATGGACGCCGCTTCTGTCTTTTGATGTTGTCGTCTTCTACCACTCACTCGGATTGTGCTTTTATTCTACGTCAGTATCGACGTCTTCCTCTTCTTACTTCTTCTGCTTTGCCTTTGTTGTTGTTGTTGTTATTTTCTAACTTTGACTAGCAATTTGATTTATTTAGGTTATCATTTTTTAAATATCTTATTTTATTGCTACTTTCGCCACTGTTGCATTTTTTCTTATTATTATTTTCTTTGCTCTCTGGCTCGACGTTGTTGTTGAAATTTTCTCTTGTATTTCTCTTCAAATGATTTTTTCACTTCACATTTTCATTTCATTTGGTTTACAGATTGCACTTCTTTTTCATTGATTTTCACATGATTTTTATTTGTAGTAATACTTTGATTTCACGTGACTTCATTTAGATTCATGATCTGCAAGGAGAGAAGAAAATGGTAAAATTTAATAAGTCTAGTATACTTTCGACTCATCAAATAGAGATCGAACTTATATTAATTTGCTTAGAGCAGTGAAAATGTACAAATTTGTTTACATTTTCTGGTTTTATTTTTAAAATAACTTGTTACAAAACTTCTTACGTTTTTAACACTATAAATATATTTTTATATTTTCAAACATGTTTAAATTCACTTTCTAAAACAGCTGCGTGAAAACTAGAAAAATATAATAAATTTAATACATATTTATATTAATTTAAATACATACATAAATGATTGAGTTTTACTAGCTTTCATTCAGAGTATTAATTTACTTTATATATATATATGTATATATATATATATCTTTTGGTGTATACATGTATACGTAGATCGGTAATGCAAACACCACCTCAACTTAAATTTCCTCTCCATTTACTGCAAATTCAAACATAAGGTACAGTCTGCATGTTGCCTCTATTAGGTCTCTTTTTTTGTAAACTCGTCCATATGCGAATCTCCTTGGGGAATTAAGAATCGCACTCAATGCCTATCGTGCCCATAAACAATTCAATTAGAGGCGAGCCCATACTCAAAAAAGAGGGGGGAAAAACCAGAAACACATAATAGTAAATGGCAAGCTTTCGCGCCAAAAGGAAACTCCAAGTTTTATCAAAACTAACGACGAGTTATTACAACATCAACACCACAGAAATGCTATAAGTTTTTGTTTGTATGCCGCATAAAATGCCAGTAAACTTTTGTTTTGGCACTAAAAGGCCACGCCTTTCCGGCAGCAGCAGCAAAAACAACCATAACTAAAGGCAACGGCAGCAAAAGTGCAGCCAAAATGTAAAGAATGGAAGCAAAGCAAGAAAAATATTTGTAAAAAAAAAGGAGCCCAAAAAACACAGACAGACAGAAAACACAGTCAAGCATCAAAGCCGCTTCCCAGTCCCAACTCCTCTGCCACCTCACCCATCCCCCTATTCCCACTATCCCTTCATATCCCATTCTATCCCATGCACCAATATAAACGAGGCCAGACAAGCCAGCCAGCCAGGCAAGCCAAGTCACGTGGGGTGTTGTGTGCGGCACGCGAAACGCCGCAAAAAGTGTAAAAACGGCACACGAAAAGCAATAATAATAACAACAACAACAAAAGAAGCAACAGCAAAAAGTGCAAAGCTGCTGAAGTTGAAGTTAAATTTTTGAAATAAATAAATAAATTAGTTGATATTTTTTGCAGTCGTTTTTTCCCCTGTCTGTGTTTATTTCTTAATTGCCAGTCAGTAATTTGCAACGCTTTAAATGCCAGTTGTATTTTGTGCTTGCATTTCGTTTTTCGGCTAAAATTTATTTTGGTCAAGACAACAAATAAACACACGCACACATACAAACCTGAACAGCCACACATACATACATATACGCTGCCCCAGACGGCAAAAATACGAGACATGCAAAAAAAAAAGTAAAACGAGTCGTATAGAATGGGATGCAATCGACTCTGCTATACCCTGTAGTCGGTTCGACAAACACAAGTATGTACAAGTATATTATTTTATTATTAAATTTGGTTCAATTTGACTTTAAATTTAAACTAAATTTTTTTAATTGAGCTTAAATTAAAATGCACAAATAATAAAGTTGCTTACAACTTTACGTTCGAATTCCAAGAAATTAGGAGTTAAAATAATACATCTGTAGCGGAGAAAAAATGTACAGAACTCTTTCCTATTTCGACTTCGATTAAATATTCGGAATCGAATTTGCTAACTTGCTATTCGGTTTCAAACGAAAACAAATAAATAAATATATATATATATATATATATATATATATATATATATATATAAATATATATATATATATATATATATATATATATATATATATATAAATATATATATATATATATATATATATATATATATATATATATATATATATATATATATATATATATTAAATTAAATCAACAAAAATATATTAAAATAACATATATATATGTATGCATTTCACACCTCCTTTTGGCTGTTACAAAAAGGGTACGTCGTTTAATAACGTGAGAATCCATCAAACCTATCGGGTACAGGGTATAAAAGAGCGCCGACAGCGACAGCATGCAAGGCAGCATACAACGCTGACGTCGACTGCGCAAAAGAAGCGCAGCGCAGCGCAACGAAACGCAGCGTAGGCGACGACGGCGCAGCAACCCTCGAGATGACGTTGACCCCGAATGAATGTGTGAAATAACGATGACGACAACGACAACGACGAATGTGTATGAAAACAAAGTGGAATCTAATAACAAAACACGGCAAGTGCGAGCGAGCGAGCAAGAGAGAAATGCATGACAGAAAGTGGCTGTTATTGATGTGTTGTTGTTTCTGTGAGCAGCGCGTCTGCGTTTTACGGATAGACGTGTAAAACGCAATGCGTATAAAAACATGAAGACGACAGGACGATAGTGGCGTCGTTGAAGCTGCGGCTGCCGCCCGACAGGCAAAGAGAGCGCGTTGAGAGAGATAGAGAAAGAGCGCGCATGTGCGCTGAAAGCAAGCAACAAAATTAAGCTAAACGAGCGTACCAAAATAACAACAGAATAGAACGAAGGAAGAACGGCATAACAAAAACAGAGGCTGCCAGGCAGCAGCAGAAGAGAGGGTTTATGTGTGTGTGTTTGTTTCAGACAAGCGCGCGTGATAAGGGCTGACGGAAACTACGCAAGCAGCAAAAACAACAACAACTAGTGGTAACAATTTTGTGTAGTACGACGAGTAGAATGTTAAAATCGCGCAAGCCAGCTCTTCTACACCCTGTACCCGCCCCTTTTTCAGACATATTCTGCTGGACCGATCGTTCCTATAGCGGCTATGTACATAGTATACCTGTAAATAGGTATATACATATGTACATTCATACACATACATATAAAATATTTATACCTTTAGGGATAAAAATTTCGATTATACCCTGCAATCCTGCGGATGCAGGGTATATAAACCAATAACATAAATAATATATTATTTTTTTGCAGACGAACGTTGCTGCAACGATAAAGCCGATGCCTGCAAAAGCGCAGCGGCTACACAAATACATACATACATACATATGTATGTATGCACATCCCCAAACGAACAGCGCTTATGAATGAAAATGCAGCAAAGTGCATTTGTGCGTGTGTGTGTCTGTTGGATTTGCAACTGCAGGCGCGCAAGTGGACGTGAGACAGACAGACAGAGAGGCAGACTGAGAAACGACGACGCTGACGACGATGTAATTGTGGTACAGTGACTACCAAAATAGTAGTGCAACGCACACCTACATACACACGCGCAGGCATACAGAGAAAATGTTGTAAACGGTTTGTAAGTCTGCTTCTTGTTGTTGCTGCTGCTGTTCCTGGTGGTGGTTTGAGTTGTAAAAAACGCAATATTTTGGATGTGTGTGTGTGTTTAGTGTAAGGAGTTGCCAAAGAGTAGTAGTAAATTGTAGTACGCTAAATAGTAGTAAAATTGTAGTAAATAGTAGTGTAGTAAATAAAAGTGAATGATATCACAAATGTTACGCGTAAGGGTTAGTTTTTTGCATGAGTGTGGTCATGGAGCAAACCAACCGTTAAACTTGAGCTATAAAAGACAAAAGATTAAATACATTTTAAATTTTTTTCCAAGAAATATAATTCTAGTACTTAATTGCCTTTGTATACATCTTTTATTATTTTTTGGGGCAATGGGAATTATTACACAAATTTTACATTTGAATATTCAATGTTTTTATTTTCAAAAAAATTTCCGCAAATATTACATAAATTAAATAATTTTAATTTTTTACAAAATTCATTGATTTTCCAAAAGATGTAAAGAAGATTTTTTTTATAATTAAAAATTTTATATTAGGTTTATCAAAGTATGTAACAGGCAGACGAAGTGGGCTTCTGCGACCCCATAGGCAACATAAGTTTGGTTTTTTTTCTCCCCCTAGTATCAACAATTTCAAGAATTTCTATAAATCTCTATCTCTGTTTCAAATTTCATCGATATCAGTTAAATCTGAGAAAAATTATTAGCGAAAATCGTATGTAACATTCCCTTCGTTTCTTAACATCGCATTTCTTTTAATAATGTACGATGTATGTACATATAACAACATTTATTAGAATTTTGTAATATTGTTCAAGTTTTTGTGACAAATAATTGTCTCTCTAAGGAAGCTATAGGAAGCTATTTCAAATGTGTTTTTATCCGCCCATTCTTTATTGAAGTGCACCTGCATCCGCATTTATTCATTATGTGTTTAAGCTGTTTTCGATTAGGCACTAATGGTCGTAAATGCACTGCATGCGTCCATTGTAGAAACACATTTACATACGTACATTGTACATACATACATACTTACTGACATACATATGTATGTTTTTCTGCTCATATACTTTAGCATCAAAAAAAGTGCCGCCTAATTAAAAAGCCATTAAAACTAAAGCCCGGCCTATGCACGCTAATAAAAACATAAAATTGCAAATGCAGTCTGCAACAAAAACAAGCATCAGCCAAACAACGCTAAAATTAATTACCTCACGAAACAAACAGCAACGAAAACAACAACAAACGGCAGCGGCAACAACAATACAAGAGCAGCAATAATAAGTGCAACAAAAATGTGGCCGGTCGGTTCGTCGCGCACGCCACACACACACACACACGCATACGAAAGCGGAACA